ATTTTTGACAGAGAGAAAGTCATTATATCAATCTATTTAACTACAGGGAGCTAAACTCACTCTGGTGAGTTGGGTTGTCTCAGTAGAAGAATTCAATAGGCYACTGTATAGATTTTTAACATAACTCAGAATCAAGGGTGCTTCATTTTACGTTAGTTGGGAAGTCCTTCAGCAACGCTCTAATTTAAATAAGAATAATAATAAATGAGACTGATAAAATGCACCCTTGAGTTCTTTTAAAGCTCTTATCTGCACTAAAACAAGTATGTGCAGTTTAATAACACAAAACTCTTTTGTAAAACATGACCTACTATCAAGAGTGGGCATTACTGCACAAAGAGCTCTTCATGTCATCTAAAGAGTACTACAAACACATTTTGGTGGTTTTTGTTTTAATTCAGGTTTCTACTATGTGAGGTGTAGAATACAAGGAGACCAGTGCCACCAAGGTGATCCTTTTTGTTTTCTCTGTGTGTTGGTGGTGATCTGGCGTGGCTGGTGGCAGTATTGATTGCKGCTGCTTCTGACAGTGAGACTGCGGTCCCATCCTGGCCATGCTGCCGCCTGTCTTCTTGATGGCGGCACGTGCCAGAGCAAAAGTGACAGGCGCTTTGGCGCCCGTGCAGATGGCCCTGCTCACAGGCATCACCCACTCTGCAAACCAAACCGCCAGGGATGGGGCGCCAGTCCCCTACCCATTCCCACGCCCACCCTCCTCCTCTTTCGTTGCTGGTGTTGCTCGGCGTGTGCTCGTCCAGGGCAGGAGGAGGGAGCCTAATCTGCTCACCAGTCAGAAATGTGCAGCTTCAAGTTGCTGCGATGAAGCCGATGTGTGGCTTGTAATTTTTTTYCTCCCTGATGCCTCAAATTTTGGCATCCTGTCTGAGTCGATGCAGCTCGTGATCGGGCTCACGCATAGCCACATTTAATCACTAACATTTTGTTTAGGCTTTACAGAAACTGTCCACTAGCTGCCTGTGATTTTTACAGATGTCTGTGTCTGCCAGTCTTTTTTTCTCTGTGCTTTTTGATATCTCTCTCTTTGTTTCCATGACAACGTGGCAGGACAGGAATTGATTGACAGGGATCGTCAAAGGGTTCCCTGGCGACCCGCTCATTGTTCGAAGCCCCTCCCTGCTGCAGTCTGTTTTGTCACTCACCCAGGGATATTTGTGATCTGCTGCTTCTCAACCTGCTCTCTCTGTGTGTGTGTGTGTGTGTGTGTGTGTGTGTGTGTGTGT